TATATATATATATATATATATATATATGTATATATATATAACTTAATTAGTTATTAGTTATTGTGCACTCTTTAATATCAAGTATCAGAATACCCTTTTAATCACCAGCTAACAGTCGGCATATGCTCATTTAACATTGGAAACACCATAGAAAAGCTAACAAGGTTAGCATGGGGGCCGAGATGGTGTAGAGGCAGGGCAGCCGGCTTGGGACCCGAAAGTCCCAGGTTCGATCCCCAATCACTGCACATCACGTGGCGTCTCTGGGCAGCACGCCTCATCCCCAAAATGTCCCCCGGGCGCTTTCAATAGCTGCCCACTGCACCACCTGGTGGTGGATGGGTTAAATGCAGAGACTAATTTCGCCATTGTATGGAAACATACAGTGCTGACATTGTGATGACATTATTATTATTATTATTATCATGTTTATCACACCTGTCAAATGTACCAATGTCCTTATTAAAGGGTCATGTTTGATCATGGGGGAGTGGTGGCACAGAGGTTAGAAGATCGGCCTGTGATCAGAAAGTCGCATGTTCAACTCTCGGTACCGTCAACCTCAAAATGTGGGTGGAAAAGGTGAAACACCCACATCTCCCTCCACCCTCATTCACCCCACTCTGGGCCCCTGAGCAAGGCCCTTAACCCCCACCATCTGCTCCCTAAACAGGTCTCTCTTGAAAATGAGTTCTCATGGCTCAATGAGACTACCTGGATGAATAAAGGGTAAATGAAAAAAAAAATGTTGTGATAACTTCATCTGTGTTTCACACACAAATTCTTCAGGGTTCGGCGAAGAAAAGATGAAAAACTTGTGAAACCCCACAGCTTTACTGCAACATGTTTCAGAAGAGTTATGGTAACCACGAGTAAAACGACACCGCACAGCAGCTACTCTGCTTTACAACATCTATTTTTGATTTTGGAAATTCAAATAAAATACTCCATGTCTTTGGTGCAATGCATCTGATTTTACCTCCCACCTTTAGTCACAGCTGTTCATGCAAACACCGTTTAATAAATGTTTACCATCAGTACTGCATTGCACCAGTATCCTGTCAGAAATGTGATTTTCCTGTCAGACGTCCCCCCACAGGCTGCACCAGATGTGCCACAGCTAGCTGCTGTAGTGCTTGGAAGTATTTCCAAAGATCTAAAGGTGTATAAAACAGTGTTTGCATGAACCGCTGCGACATTTTTGAGATCGGAGTCGTTTTAAGAGCAGCGGTCCATTTTGGTCGTGGCCATATTAGCTGTTAGCTCGTGGACCGTTCAGAGAGCCCCGCGTCAGAGGATCTGAACTTTTAAGTTTAATTCGGACATGTTGTTTCATGCTGCTCTGTCTTTGTTCACCTTGTTGTTGCAGTGAGGTGCTTCCACACACACAGCTGACTACCAAATTGCCTTCCACTACCAAGAGATAGCCAGTATGCAGAATGGAGCGCCCGAGAGGAACGACACGGTCTCTTCTCCTTTGGGCGACGCGTCAGCAGTTCGTGAACATGCACTGGACTGGTGGATCCGTTTTCCTCGTCCTGGTCGCTCTCATCGCCTCTCACTCCGCCGGGGCCTTATCGCTGGACACGGTGGGAAACGATACAGAAAGTAGCAACGCCACGCAGGACGGGTTTGTCCCAGTTGTGTTCACAGAGGTGAGCCAGATAATCGCCCGGGAGGGGAGCTGCGCACTGATTGATTGTAACGTCACTGGAAACCCTGTTCCCAGCATTCAATGGTTCAACTCGCACGGAGACCGCCTGGACACGCAGACAAGCGGTGAGGAGCTCTTTTCTCTCATCAGATGTTACTTATTAAAACTTGTAGCTTCGTTAGCACCAGCTACTGAAAACACTCTGGACTTTTATTTACTCAGTGACTGAGTAGAGAGAGCCGGGGCACATTCACAATCAGTGCACGCTTTAAACCAGGGGCTCTCAAACTTTTTGAGTTCAGGGACCCCCTCATGTTTATTAAATAA